CCCTCCCCTTATAAGATTCTTTAAACGTCATAATTTTCAGGGTATATTCTTTGTACTCAATTAAGCATATGCATTTAATCTCTATGTCTTCTTTTTTTTTTGTTTTCATTTCAAAATTGTATTCTATCATTAATAATATGAAAGTAATAGATTCTTTCCGTTAGGGATGAAAGATTTATATGGCATGATCCAAAAGATTTTTGGGACAAGTGACTCATAATACAGCCTTTATGGTCTCATGGTGATTTCAATGAAGCCAGACACTTTTATGCAATAAACAGAAGATTATTACTTCACTCCAGGATCAAGAGATGGAGGGCTGTAAAACATGAAGCTATTTTAAAGGCACCATTAGAACACATATGAGTAAATAAGTTTTAAAACTTAAAACTGCTGGAAAAATTTTCTGACTGCATAGGACACTGTACATTCTTTATATTTTATTACTCTTAAAACTCTTCATGATGCCATCTTGGCAGGGAATTATGGCAGAAAAAGGAAGTGAGAATAGAACAAGAAGGGATGGTGGAATAAGCAAATTGTTTCTATATAACTATTGGGAGTCGAACTGAGAATTAGTCATGATAACAGTCATTCATTCATTCATTCATTCATTCATTCATTCAAGCATTTATTTCCTGGAGCTCCTACTATTCAGGAATTATGTTCTATATGTAAGACATAAAGAGACAATCAAATCATATAAATGCCCTCAAGAAGCTTAGAGTCTACTGGCTAAGAGAAATTAGTTAACCAAAATTTAAGATACCCAAGAAGTGATATAAATACTTTATACATAGGAATGCAACAGAGGGGAGCGGAAGAGAATCAGTGTTGGGCTGAATCAGTGTTGGGCTGAAGGAAGAATAGGGACTAGAGGAAGAAGGGGAAGGAAGTAAAGGGAGTCTCCTGTGATTTCCAAGAGGAGGTGATGCTTGAATTTCCCTCCTTGTATTCCTACTCCTATCCCTCACCTTTGGACCTTTACTGTATTCAGGTTGTTATACTGTTGGGTGTTTTATTGACTTTGGGAGGAAATCTGAGAACAGAAAGCAAAGACATTTGAGTCCTGTAATGAACTTTGGAGTTCTAAAGGCCAGGCCCTCAGTGGAAGGACCCTTCTCATGGTGTGGATGTCTGATAAGGTCAAAAGTGAAATAAGGAAGAGCAAGGTCTTCTGTTCTCAAGGCCTGAGGAAAGGTCTGTGGTGTTAAAGGAGTTGCTTCCTGAGTGCAGATACCAGACTCTATATCCTTCATGGCCGAGCCCTGGAAAATGGGGGCCCTTCAGTGGAAGGACCCTGATCCTTGATAGAGTCATGAGAAGTGGCTGGAAGGTGTTATTGGGGGGTGGAGTCTTAGACATACCCAGTGTTTCCTGTGCTTCCATTTGGGGTAAAGCAGTGAGATGTTTTGGGCATCCAAGAGTGACTTGGACATAGAGGGGAAGAAAGAGGGAAGAGGATGAAGCAACAACTGGAAATGAAGGGGCTACATGAATAACAAGGAACAATGTGGGGGTGTCCTGGGTGTACTTATGAAGATCAAGGACATAATTGAATTTTAGCAGACGGCAGTTCACATAGATGAAATCAAGGCAGATGAGGCCCTTACTCTTCATGTTGAGAAAATCCCTTAAAATACAGATATAACTCTAGGGAACCAAAAGTAGGGGGTAGGTGAATCAGAAAAGGGTTGAGATTGTTTCTACCATTTAATTGAAACAGTATCTAGACAAAATCTTAAACTGTGTTACAGAAAAATAAAATCATGTTTCTTATCTCCTTGATTTGTAGACCCAGATTCATGTTCACTATATCGGTGGTATTTTTCAAGAGGAAGCACAGGTAGAGAGAAGAAAGACAGGTACAGACAAGTACTCATTCTTAGGCTTAAAAAAGCAGAGCATGGTGCTTGAAAGAAGGTACAAGTAGCAGGATGGGTATAAGAGGATGTTTAGCAAGAAATAGGTGTGAACAGAGGCTGGCAAAGGCCAGATCAGAAAGGATCTCCTAATCCCTTCTTAGGAATCATCCATTTCTTCCAGAAGGCAATGTAGAAACCCTGAAGAATTTTATAAAGAGAGGAATTCTCAAATATAATTTGGAAAACCACTGCTTGAGAGGTCTATTTTGTGGACTAGAAGAGAATGGAATGGAATTTGAAGTAGGAGACTGGTTAGGAGAAATGGGGAGATCCTGTTCTCAGCTGTACGGGCGTTTGGCAGAAGGGACCACTTGGAGAAAGGTGCCAGGTCTTCATAATGTTTGGTTGTATGGGGAGGGAAAAGAGGAATGAGGAGAAGCTGAGGATATTGCTAGGATTCAGGGTTACAAAAAAAGAGTGAGAAGAGAAACAATTTGATGAGGAAAGTCTTGAGTTCTATTTCTGAATGTTTTAAATTTGTAGTGTTTAAGTAAAATCAGGATGGAGATGTCCTGTTCAGAGTTGGAATATGGGTCTGGGTCTCAGCAGAGAGGTAGATTTGAGCTGGAGTATTTCTTTAAGAATCATTGGTGCTAAGAGGTAGTAAGAGAAGTGGCTGTGGGTTAGATTACGCACAGAGGAGAGAAGAGGACACAGGATGAAAATCTGAAGTTAAGGTGTGAAGGGAGTCTGTGGGGGAAGCTGAAGGTAGCCTCCCAAGAACCAGAAAAATGATGTATTGAGGGCAAAGGAGGAGAGAAGTGAAAAAAGGCGGTAGTCATTAGTGCTAGATGGGAAAATAAATAAAACATGTGCTTTGGATTTGGTAATAAGACCAATGATAATAGTATAGGAATGAAATAGCAAGGATGGAAGGTTGAAGACCAATAAGGTGACAAATATACTCACTGTTTTTTAAAGACACTGAAGAAAGAATGAAAAAACCAAGAACCAGAGGAGGAATTGGGTTGAGTTTCTTTGATACAAAAGATAACCTATTTCTATGCTAAGGGGATTGCATTAGCAAACAGAGTACAGTTGAAGGCAGAAAAGGAAAATTGATAGAGTAGGTCACTAGGGCTGAGGGGAATGACCTGGACCTCTTGTGGAGAGAATAAGTTTCTCCTACTCTGAGGTGGAAGGAAGTGGGAGGTGGAAGGAGGGAATGCAGGGAAGTTTGTAGTTTAGGAGATGGAAAATCTACTTAACATGAATTACGCACTTGCTCTGTAGAACCCCCATGTGGACCACAGAGATGAGTAGGATACTATCAACATATTTTCTCTTCTCAAACATTTACTTCAATTAGATGAATGAACATATATTCAACCTTATGCTCCTTGAAATTCCAACATGCCTAGCAGTGATCTACAGAGGGCAGGATGCTGGCAACAGCTACTCCCCCATATGATTTTATAATGACCTTGCTTAGAAGTGGTAGTGCATGGTGATAATAACAATTAGTCTTACATTCAGTCAGTCTTATTATATTCTTTATTATAGATATCTTTATTATAGATATTGCCTGCATCCAGGTAGACCTTTCTTGCCACCTTGCCCTTGGTTCACCATTGATGCTCAGATCTCTGCTTTGAGGTTTTTCTTTGAAGCAAACACAAATGCACAAAAATCATTTGGGTAACAAGAATAAAAGAACCAGAAGGAAGCTACAAAATCAACTTTAACCCTCTCATAGTTTAGAAGAAGAAAAGTGAAAATAGGTGAATGACTCAAGTGAGGCCACCTAATTCAGGAATGACAGGTCTGGGTCTAGAATCCAGTTCCTTCTCATAGTTAGTCTGAGGGAGAAAATTCCCTTCTTGTCTACCTTTCCACACTTAATCTTAGAGATAAATAGGGTATCCAAGTAAGGAAACATCACATAGATGCCCACACAGCGGTCCATCAGGAAACCAGCAGATATTTTGAAGGAGCAGGTAAGAATGACTTGATCATTGTGGGGTCAAAGTGCTCACCCTTTAAGGGCCTTTGAAGATTAACAAATCCTTTTCTTTTCATGTTATCCATTGTTCTTTGACAACACTTTCAAAGAATTTTGAATGGTCAGTTTTATCTTCTGCAGTTCTTAAAATCCCAAACTATATTTTCTGAAGGTTGTATGCATGTGTGTGCATGTGTGTGTGTGCGTGTGTGTGTGTAAACCATAACTATTTGAATATATATTTGCAAGTATATATATACTATTTGCATATAATTTATATGTGTGACCTAAAAACCTAAGATAACAAAAAAGACAATGAAAGAAAATGGAGACATAGTAAAATAAGAGGAGAAAGAACCTAGAACTGTACTTTGGGAAGTCTTACTTCCCCTGCTACCTTGGTGTTCTATGTTGTATATAATACAAATCATGTTTTAAATATAAAAATGACACTATTTTAAGGCACACCATGAAAAAACTTTACTTAATGTTTTTGGGAAGCAAAAAATTAGTCCCTCATTTATGCATTTTGTATATTATACTTTTCTTGTATGGGATTTGCTTTAAATGGAAATATATCGGTATAAAGTGCATATCATGTATAATAAATTACAAAGGCAGGTAAGGGACCAAAAATAATTTCATGGGCCTTCATATTGAATGTTTGTTGTGGTTAAAAAAGCAGAGGTAAAACTTTGTATAAAATTAATTTGTGATTTAGTCTCCTTCTATCTGACTCCAAATAATGTGGATATTTGCAGGAAACACTCTGAGTTCTTTCTCAATCCCTCTACCTACCAGAGCTTGATGACAATTAAACAAGATAGCATCATGTGAGGTCAGTGAACCTCAATAAGGACTCAATAAATTGTAATAGAAAATGCCTTGTAGCTGAAGATGGACTATGCTTGGGTCTATACAAGCTTAACAGAATCAGAGGTACCTGAAACATTAAATATAACACAGCTATATTATTTTGGGAGACAAGAAATACTACTTCATCCTGGTGTCCATTGGTGAATGATTCTACCCAATTATGTCAATCATTTCTAGGTCTTTTTTTATTTAGTTAATGAACACTCTTAAAAAATTGTAAGAAGCCACAAGTAGAGGGATACAGAACACAGTCTTACCTCTCTTGAAGTCCAATGGGCTTCATTTTGAAAGGAGAAGGACAGACAGAGGTAGAGGTGGTAGCTTTGATCTCAGGCGTGCATCGGCCTTGGGGGTCCACAACAACGTTCAGCACCTTTGGGGCCTGCTCAGGTTGGACCATGCTGTGGACTGACTTCACCTCAGACTGTGCTGGCTGTAGTACAATGGGTGATAGGTGGATCACCTGGTTTTTTTCTTTATCTTGTCTCAAGGAAAGTTGAAACCTTTCTTTTAATCTGTAAAGTATCTACAAAAGGAGATATAAGGGAATTTTGTCACATTTTCTCACATTAAATAACAGAGTATGATCTGTTCCATCCCAACCTAGAATAAAGCTTCAATGATAAAGTAAGCAAAAGTAGGATGGTTTTTCAGTTTTGTGGTATTGAGATTTTTCTCAAGGTAATATGTTGGTATTTCTAGTTGTGTTGCACATATATAACAAATATTTGTGTACATGAAATCTGTTCCTCACAGACATATTCAAAAGCAATATTAGTTTGATCACACGGGAATTCTTACTTGAGATGACTGAAATGGTAGGCTTATAGAAGGAACAGCCATGAAACACAGACATATGACATTTATAGAAGCAGAGATCTAATCTAGTCTGGCATAGAGGGAAGAAGTCTTGCAAATGATTGATAAAAGAATAGTTATGCTATAAATTATAATTTCTTATGTTGGTAAATATTCCATTAATCATACATCAACTTGAGTGTCAGGTAAACACTTAACAAAATTAAATTTAGGGCATCTGTCAAATAATAATTTGGGCAATCCTAATTTTCTTTCCCTTCATTTTTAATGCATGTAGAAAAAAGCAAAAGGATTACTTTCATTCTCAGAGTTTCTTTTGGTATGACTAACTCAATGCACAAATTATAGGATTTTCACTTTTAAAAGAATTGGACTGATTTTGCTGAGCCATTCCACAGACCAAATTGTGAGATGAGCAAAGTAGTAAAATTTCTAATTTGTGCCCTTAGGCTTTCCTTTTTATAGCCCTTTCTATTTTTTTTTTTTTTTTTTAATGCTGGTGCCTCTATTCCAATTCCTGAGGAAACTAGATATCCTGGTATTTCTTCAAGTCTTTTCTCAGGTCTTTTCTTAAGTCTTAATTCCCATAAAAATGTCACTTAACTCACTACCTGCAATTATCTGAAGGCATACAGCAGTGATGACACCTGCATCTGAGGAAGTTTTAAGCCAATTGAACTCCCCTGTTTAATTTCTGGAATCTATGAGCTGAATGAGTATTATTTTTGGCTTTTCTGGAACTTTGCAATTATATTTACCACTTCAAAATTCCTTTAAATTCTAGTAATCTCGATATTTCAAATTTCCTGGAAAGATACAATCTAAATATATGTGTATATGAATATATATTTATTTCTTGTAGCAGGATTATAAACAGAAAATTAGAAAGAAAATTAGAGAAGAATTTGTCTGAAATTATGGAGGAAATAAATACGTTTGAGAATTTGTTTCAGTTCAGTTTTAGAAAATATTTGCCTAGTATTCTTAAAATAATATTGGGAAAATAAAGTCTGTTTAGCAAAATACAATTATCAGAAAGAATCAAGATAAAATAAGAAGCACAACAATCTAAGACGAAAAGATAGACTGAGATTTAAAAAAAGAATCTAAACAACTGAAAACTCAGTAGCAGGATGTAAGTCTTCTTTGCAAGCAATAAAAAACGGAACCGACAGTGCAGAAAATAAAATCAGTGGTACTCACAGACGTCAAACTTGAGAGAGTGCATGAAACGTAGAAAGAAAGAATAAGGAGATGAGTATGAAAACAAGAGAAAAGATAGGACATGGAAGTCAGAGAGAGTCATTGTAAATGATAAACCAGATTAAATGAAAGAGAAGGAAGTCATTCAAAGTGATTTTTCCTTGCCTACTTTGTGTCATGTGCTATGAAAGGTAGAGAATATTTTGCTGTGAGCAAAATAGATGCCTTCTGTTCCTACAGAACTTAGAGATATGGAATCAGAAAAGGTTTTAGGTTAAAAAAAATCCTCAAATCCACGTATGTCAATTGAATGAAGAGTAAATGTGAGAAGAAAAGGAGTAATTCTCATCACTTTGGGAATAAAAGTATATTTCAAAGGATGCATGGATTTTATACCTAGACAAATTGATGTTCATGTACATAAAGCCAACAAGAAGAATTTCTCAAATATACAAAGTCTACAAAACTATATTACCCATGTCTCTTTCTGAAAAAAAATTTACTTAAGGATATACTCACAATCATGAACAAGATAATTCAAGATTAAAAACTAAAGAGCTAGAAATTGTAATATAAAAAGTTTTAAAATTACTTAAACAAAGCATGAAACTAAACTAAATCTCAGATCCAACATCCTAAATTGAAGTAACAAGAAAGAAGGCTAAGAGAGGTAGAAAAATAAGGGTGAATGTACACTGAACTACTTTTAAATTAGAGATAGAAAGAATTTGAGTGAGAATGGTCATTAGAGATCTTTCTGACCTCATTGCACATGGAGGAAACAGGTCTCTCTGAACAATGGGCTTGCAGGAAGCCAACAATTAGTTGGGGCAGAGCCTAACCCTAAAGCAGTTCTGACTTGTAGTCCTAAGCATTTTCCACCACCCTTGTACACTTCTGCTGCTGTTCTTCCTCACACCACCATTCTTAAGATTGACTATGAAACCACATCTGCGACAGGTCTGATTCTCACCAATGGGTTTCAAGACCACTAAATTTGAGAGTGTGCTTTTTGTAGATTGCAAGGAAGTCTCCCTAAGGAAAAAAACTATGCACCTATGAGTATAACGAGAAATGCATATTATACATTGAACTGCCAGGGAAGGAAGGAGAAAACTTACTATCTTTTATGTCCATTCGTTTCCTCATAACCTGGAAACTTTTATAATGGTAGTATTTATTGACTCTAGTAGGGTAAAGCTAAATCTTAAATTTTGAAAAATAAGAGATTTAGAATATTCACATGACAAATATTACTGAGTAAGAAAAGACCATGTCTAATACTAAGTGACAAGCCTTCTTATCTTTATCATAATTACTTTCAAACAAGGAAATTATGTTTTTTAAGCTACTGGATAGAAAAAAACTGAAGATGAATGGCTTTATCAGGTGCACAGTGCCCAAGGTTTTTAACTTAATGTTTTTCAGTCTCCATGACACTCGTAGTATAAAAACAAAACCCACACTGGAAGAATACCAATTAAATGATACATATATCTTAAGCTTATAATATATGTATCATCTGATTGGTATTGAATGATGAGACAATGGGATTTAAGATTGAATAGTTTCTTTTTTTTTTTAATTGCAAGCAAGTTATTTTCCCGAATGAAGGAGACATATATATCTGCATCTTGACAAAAATACATTTAGTAGAAGAAGATAATGCATATATTGCACATTCTAAGCTCTTCATGTCTAAATATATATGTATATCAGAACATTTGCTTGCCTCATTTACCTTTGAATTTTAGAGAAACATATTTCAACAATGAAAATGAGAAAGCCAAGGTAATGTTAACCTTCTCAATTGTTCTTGACAGGTCACTTTTATGATTATAATAGTGTGAAACAAGGTCTAGTCCAAAGTCCTTCCTTATCATTCACAAGCTTATATTTTTGATGAGGAACCTTTGTAACATATTTTACAGTCAGTCATCTGTTTACTTCATCTCTGGTTAGAGGTCAACTTTTCAACCTGTCTCTGATTTCTACATCTTTAATTAAGGGAATGCAGACCTGGGGAATGTGTAATGTGTTTAAGTCACTGTCTAAAATACTCGACATTGGGCTGTTGGGAAAAATGTGGAAAAAATTGAAGAAGCTTGTATTTAGTAATAGGAAAGTGATCATGAAATTAAGCTATCAGGCAGTGATTCCCAACTGGCAGGGATCTTGCCCTTCAGGGGATATTTGGCAATGTCTGGAGATAATTTTGGTCATCATATTTGGAGGGGGGGAGGGAAAAGAGAAGGAGTGCTACTGGCATCTAGTGAGCAGAGGTTGGGGTTCTGTAAAATACCCTACAAAGCATAGGAAAGACCACCACCCCAACATAAATAATAATCAGTTCAAAATACCACTAGTGCTGCTGCCGGGAAGTGGTTCAAGGAATCTTTAAAATCATCTGGTATCATCTCCTCATTTCATATTTAAGCCCAGAGTATTTGCATGATTTAGGGAAGGTTGGAAATAAAATCTAAAATCCAGGTTTTCTCACTTCTAGACATGTGATCATTCAACGCTACTGTTTCTTCCAAATCCTCATATCCTTCTCTAAAACCTCTTTCCCAAAATCTCTGGAAAGGTGTGTCAGAGATTTTTCTGCACAGATTGAGGTCTGGAATACAGCATATGCATATTTCTCTCTGTAAATGCATGCTGTATTTAAAACTCAATCTAATGACTTACTATAGCAATGGCAAGTCAACATTTTCCCTTTATCTTTAGAAGCATATTTGAATGATGGATAAAGTCATTTGAAAAAGGAAAAGAGAAAGTATTATAGAATGAGAGTAACCTACAAGTCAAACACGATAGCAAGAGAAAAACACAATAGTGGGAACAAGTGAACCAGAGAAACAGCAATGGGAGAAAGCTAAAAAAAAAAAAAAAAAAAATCCTATGCAATTTGTTTGCAGTTTATAATTTTCATTAAAATATCTCATAAGTAGCACGAAGCATTCTGTTTGGATTAAAATATGTTCGAATTTTAAAGTGATGCCACCAACCAACAGTCTGTAGCATTTGTTCTTTATAGTATTTACAGCTAGCTCTCAAAGAGCTCATTCATTCTTTTCTTTGAATAAACATGAATCAACCCGTACTACGCTCCATAAATAAAATTACATGGATACAAAGGTAGCACAGAACTCTGTCCTCAAGAAACTGACAGACTCCAGAAGAGACAGATGTGCAAACATTATGTCCAGTCCAAAGTACTAAGTGCAAAAATAGAGGTGTGCCCATGGCACACAGGAATGGTGTGGCACCCATTAATCAGTTCTGCCTGGGTGGAATGGCTTTGATAAGTGTAGCCATTCTCAACTGTTACTGGACCCATTTGTGGCCAGAAATAGCTATCCACAAGACAGAGTGATCGGACTAAAAGAAATCAAAGTGTGATTCCCTTGTAGAATCAAAAAATCCTGATAAAGAATTTCAGTCCAAACTTTCTATCCAGACAGCCTTGGGTTTGAATTCCTCCCCTCTCTTATCACCCTCCCCCACCACATACCAAATGCCTATTCCTTGCATGTTTTTGGTCAAGTCTCTTACCTTTTCTAAATCTTGGTTTCTCTCATTAGTAAAATTAGAAAACCAAAATATATTGTTTAGTACCAGACAGTCAATTTAGTATCAGTTTAAGTACCAATAAGTGTGCAATAAATAAAAAAGAATTATTACTATTGTTGCTATTGCTATTATTAAGAGGGTTGAATTCTTCTTAATACAGAAAAAAGATGAAAATTAGTTTGAGATATATGCTTACTTTGGAAATGATTCCATAACCAATGATTCCAGCTAAAAATATAGTCTTGTTTCTCTTAGTCCCTAGGGATTATAGACAACAAGTTAAAAAGTGTGGCTATTTATGTCCACTTTTGACATGTATTTACTGTGTAATGCTTGGGCTACAGCAGATGGTTTGATATAGGCTTTCTTGCTTCAGCTACCAGACTAGAGAGGCTCTTTGCAACACAGGCTGTCCTATGGATCTAACAGGCCAGTGCTTTTATTGACCCAAACAGCTGTTTTATATGATTTCTAAAACTTTCCAGAAGCAATCTGGCCTGTAGATATCTCGACCTACACTGCATAAATGTCTTTGCAGTTGTTATAAACCTATAGGTGCGTTTGAAGGTTTAATTTAGATGATAACTGGTGTTCTTTCTATTACTGGTTCAAGTTTAAGAAGTAATTCTTCTCAGTAATAAGTTTCCTTCATCTAAAACAGACTGAATGGTTTGGAAGTTGCCCACACATTTTTTCTTGGAAAATTGTATTTGTCTATTTGTTGCTCCACCCACTCTACATTCACATTTGTGAGGTACTAAATAAGTCACATATTTGAAAATGTCATGCCTGTCTAATTTTATGCCTGGAAACTTTAAAAAAAATATTTTAAGGAAAGTAAACAATATGCCACATTTCAAAATTTTTGCCGGATCTCATGTTATTGTTATACAGTACATGCAACCCTCCATGACAGTAATTTAGTTATATAATTTCATAATAAAACCACATGCTTTTCCTTTCTATGGTATGTAGGAAGGCTGGATGCAAACAGCAGCACTTGATCTTTCATAAATATAATGGATGTTATAGGAAAATTCTGAGTTACATCTTCTCTTTGCCAAGGAATCAACAAAACTATAGGAAACAGAATCGGAAGTATGTCTTTCAGAATCACACAACTTTTACTGAGAGATCCCAGCAAAAACCTTACTTTAAATCAAGGTAATTATTAAAAATATTTGAACACTTATACAGATGAGCTTGTTTTAGAGAATCACACTTGACATTCCCCTAAATGCGAACTCTTAATTTCTCTGTGGTGAATTGCATCAGATAAACTTAGCTTCATCTTAATCCTGTTCGGTAGTATTTATTTTCCTACAAATATCAATTTCCTGTCTGTGTGCTGCTGGTTCCCCTGTTACTTTTTTAAGTGACTCTTTCATATGAAAATTTAAGATAGTGTTTGAAATCGATCATCTTAATTTCTCCTTTCATTTATTCAAGAACTATCTGAATACACTAGTCCCTACCCCAACATATTTCTCTCCCAGAAAATGGGAACACAGGCACTCAAGCCAGATAATCTGGGAGTTATCCTTAACTTTTTTCCTTCTCCTTGAGAATGAGAACACAGCAAGTCCTGTCAGTTCTACCTTCAAATAGATCCCAATTCTTCACTTCTCTCTCTTCACTACCTGTTTTGGCCACAACATCTTCTTCATCAGATTATTGTGGAAGCCTCTAGAAGGTTCCTCCTCTTCCCACAATTCATCCCATCCTCTGTCCCTAACTACTCTCCATCAGCAGAGAATGTGATCTTTTAAACACACACAGCGGATCACATCAAGACTCTGACTAAAACACTCAGTTTCCTCCTTCCCCTTGATCCTGAACAGGCTAAGCTTATTCTCGTTCCACCCACTGTACTCTCCGCTGGGTGAGGTGGGGGAGTCCTTTTCCCACATTTTCATCTATTGGTCTCAAACGCGTCAGGTTGTTCTGCTCCACTCACTCATTATGATGTTACCTTCTTTGTGGCAATTATCACTATTTAGTTTTTTTTTTTAAATTAATACACTATCTTTTGAGTGCAGTTTTAGGTTTACATAAAAATGGAGCTGAAAGTACCTAGTTCCCATATGCCCATCTCCCCTACCTCTGCAGTTTCCCCTATGACTTACATCTTGCGTTAGTGTAGTTCAGTTGTTACAACTGGTGAACCAATATTGATGTATTATTATTAACTAAAGTCCACAGGGTATATTAGGACTCAGTCTGTGTTGTGCATTCTGTGGATTTTGATAAATCCATAATGTCATGTAGTCTCCATCATAGAATACAAAATAGTTCACTGCCCTAAAATCTGCTGTCTTCTACCTCATCATTCCCACCACCAGCCACCTCCCGTCCCCCACCAAGCTCTGGCAGCCACTATCTTTTCACTGTCTCTATAGTTTTTATTTTTTATTCACTATTTGATTATTTTGTTTTATTTTAAAGATATGGAGTACAATTCAGGGTTAGATATACAAATAGTCATTGTACAGGTAAAGTTTGGGCCTCACTTTGACTTAATTATTGTCTGTGTCACCCTTCTATAAAAAAGACTTCAAGAGAACAGGGACCTTATCTGTCTAGTTTTCTCCTTTGCTCACTGTGCCAACAACAAATAAGCCCACAGTGGATACTCTGCAGAAATATGTTGATTGAATGAATGGATGAATCTACTGACTAACCCGAGAGAGCAATCAGCTATACCTTTGAAATACTCCTTTGAGTCATGCTCTGGCCCCAAGTGGTTGCTGAGTTAGAAATGCAGACTCTGGAATGTATCCTATATGTTCATAGCAAGCTCTGCTCTGTCTCTCCTGCCCTGTACTACTCAGAGGGTAGGGACGGATCTGTTTCCCCACCTCCTTCCTTTTATCTTAGCCTTTGCTCTTCTGAATTACATCCATTTATCCCTTGAACAGTCTCCATTTTTATTACCCTCTACCCCTTTCTATCTCCATCTTTTTTCATCTGTGAAGCAGAAAAACACCCCAATTGTGACTGACAAGAGAGAGAACAGCCCTTGAGATTTCCTGTTTTAAAGAAAGAAGAACCACAGTTTCAAGTGCAATTGACCATAACAAGGAACCATACCCTTTAAAACAGTAAGAAATGTCCAGAAGTCTGTGCCACAATGTCCATAAAACCTCCAACCTTCTCTCATTATTTTTTCCCTTAATTCAACCATCTAAAATATAACAATTCATTTTCTTACTTGTTTATGAAATTATTCTCTTGTTTATTGAGTCACAATTTTTAGAAATTTTCTTTCTGAATACCCAACACATTGGAGATGCCTCTGAATTCATTATGACAGAAGCTTCAGGATATTCTTGCTACTTCCTATATTTTGGACTCTAGGAAACATGCCCGACTCTACCCTATTTAGGGCCTTATTTGTTTTATATTCTTCAAATTTAGACCCATGAGGTCTCTTTCTTTCCAGACTGAGCCCTAATCTTTCCAACAGAAAAAGGGAGCACAGCAGGGGGAGCACAAATGAACAAAATCCAGTAAAATGCTTAGCAGCACTTGATTGTGGGTAGAATAAGGAGCAGAATGTCTTAGGGGGTATTTAAAAACTAAAAAATGTATTTTTTAGAGTATGCAAAATTAAAAAGAACACAGCGCACAAGAAAAAACATTAAAATCCATTTGTAAACTTTGAATATTACACACATCATGAAATTTTTAAGCGTTTAAAAAAAAACAAAACAAAAAACTTATGCTACTGAAAAGGTAACTATTAACTCATACAATACCAAACAGCATTGCCTAATTTAGTGGGTTAGGTTTATTTTGGGCTCAATTTTTAAAATTAGGAATATGTGTCCAAAGGCTACACATTGTCACAGAGCTACTGCAATATTTAGATTAATATTTTCATACTATTTATCCACCTAAAAAAATTAGTAGGTAGTCTAACCTAATTTAGCCTCTGAGGCTATAATCATCTCCTTTTCACAGAATGCTTTCAAGGACCTTTAAAAATAAGGAAATCAACCATTCCCTAAGGGACTAAGCTTGCCCCAAAGACATATCTCTTTTTAAAATTTTTCCTGAGTCCCATAAAGATGATATAAAAGAGGAAATAAAGTAAGCCCAAAGTGTGCCCATGAGACTTTAATGACTTTGAGGGCTTCAGTGGCCTCAGTAAATCACTTTCTAAAGCTTTATTCTCAGGGTTGATCAAGTTACTAAGAACTTCATTGCAATTACAGTCTTATTATTCAGGTCAGCATCCATAATTCCATAGGCTTTCCTTTAGCAACCGCTTTGCTGTCAAATATGAAATATATCTAATCTAACAGGATCACAGTCTTACTTCTGCTACCCAAGTCATTTTAGCATTCACTCAAATTGCAATGTATCCAATAATATTAAGCAGTGGGTTCAGCAAAGGATAAAGTACACAAAGAAGCAAACTTACCATCAAACACGTTACTATAATAACAAAGATGCTGAGAAAAATGACAACAGCATAAAATCCTTCTTTGCTCCAGATTTTGTCCGCTTCATGCTGCCCTTGTAAAACATTTTTCTTTAAAAGCAAAACAGAAAGTCCGACGTTAAATGAGAGCCTGAGAAAACTGGCGTTCTTATCAGACACTAAACATATTTTTAGCTTTATTTCATTCAGTGTAGTGGAACACACCTACACCCCTCGCTACCAGAGCGGCTTCTTAAACTGCTCTAAGACAACAGACTGTCACCCTAGACATCAAGAGATTGTTTAGTCTCCTGTGCGAGGAGCAAGCATGCTGGGCATAGCATCCTCAGGTCCTGGGTTTCCTAAATGTCCCTCACCATTTCTCTTGGAAACTACCTGGCTCATAGGTAAGAGAGTTCTGTTCTTTTCTGTGACAGGATATTGTTTCTGAAGATTTCCTTACTCTGTTTTAAGTCTCCTCCCACAGCATCAACACCCTGGTTTATGTGCTGTAACACTGCTTTTTACTTTTAAACAAAAGTGAAACAGGTGCAAACAAAAGCTTGTGATGTATTGAAAAACAGAACAACAATGTCAGGATTATTTCCTCCTTTTTTTTCTTTATCACATCCTTTTTTAAAAAATGGAGTCTATTTTGTCAAAATCTGGCTAAAGTACAATCTCAATCATATGCATATTTAGCATATTATATATATATATTTAAAATAGCAGGGAACACCAAGAAGTTCAGAATTATTTGGTAATAAAGGGTAAAATACATAGTTTTATTCTGATTTTTGTCATTTTTGTTCACTACTTTGGGAGTATTAGAGTGGAGAAGAAGCATGAATAAAATGTGAATGAGTTTCTTAGTTTTATTTCATCCGTTCTTTTTAAAAAAGCATATTGACTAAAATAATTTCTTAGAATAAATTATGTCTTATAATTTAGTGACAGCATAGATTTATAGTTAATGAAATTTTAACTTGAAACAAAATGGTTCATGATTAGGAAAAACATAAAGGTTAAATCAAGGCAAATGCATCCACTTGTGTAAAATTTCATTTTGTTGAAGGTTGCTTTTTCATTCCTGCTAGTGAGGTTACGTATTTCTCCTTGGATATTGTCTCCAATGATTAAGAAAGACTTGAATAAAACATGCCTCATAGGTGTCTGAACTTGGAAATCATTGTTAATCTATTTTTAAGCCTTAAAAAATAAAATATAACTCATGTTTACAAATCACACAAAAATAAATCTTTGCCTTGAAAAATATTTTATGAAAACTTTTATTCTGGAACTCAAACAAGTTTTGGTGGGAAAATGAGCTAGTGCAAAACAGAAAAGACCTTTAAGTTCAATTGTGATTATAAAAGTTATTTGGAGAAAGACTTATTAATTGCTTGAAGTAGTCAAGTTTCTATTTCCTTTACTTGTAAAGCATTGATGTGCTCATTATAATATCGGGCCTACTTTGTAAGACAAAGATAGATGCATAAGTACAAGAAATAATTTAGATATATATTGAAAAAATACGTAAATAGTAAATTGATGGTGATTCTGAAAATACTTGGTTGATGTAATGATTGGAAAACAAGTATCCTGCTGGAAAGGAAATTTTGGGTTCAAAGTGACAAATCTTCTTTCACCTCTTTGACTTCAATCATATCAATTATTGTTCCAATGTCTCTATAAACATAGCTGGAAACCAATAAAAAGAACTCTTGTAGAAATTAGGTATAAATATGGGAATGAATTTTTTTTTACAGGCAACTAAATAGCATCCATTGTTTGCTATAAAAGCAAACTTGTTAAGCCTTCAAGTAGGCTGCATAAATTTGTCAAATTTAAGAATAAGGATCTGAGCTTAAACTCATGTAAAATTTGGATAAAAAGGGGTGGTTAGGTGGGTGGAAAGAGATTTTGTGTTCCTAACCCGATTTGGTTCTTTTTTTTTTTTCCTACAGTTCTACAACTCCTAGAATATCAACATGTTCCTTTCTGCTTAAGACAAACCTGTTTTGTTTTCTTTTTTAACCGAAGCAGTAACGATGAAAGAATTAACTTCCCACCCTCCCATCCCCCACCCCCAATTAGAAAGATACATGTTTTGAACTTCTAGAACTTAGTCACTGCACTTTCTTGGTAAATAGGTTTCTTTCTGAGTCATGATACTCCTGTTGAGCACTACTATATTTGTACAGAGATCTAAAAAACTTGATAAGGGAAGGGTAATAAATGGAAAAGTTTGTTAAGATCCCATAAGCCAAAAGACTATAATTCGCATGAATCTTCAATCTAACATTTGCATAGGGTTAAACTGATGCTTTTTATATTTTGTCAGGGGACTGAGGGCTCAGTAATTCAGAGGCTTTATGGCTGGGTCAAACTAATGTCACGGTATCTTCTTTATGTCTTATTTCATAGCTACATTGCTTTGCTCTTTAACTTAGTTGCAGTGAAAGAAGCTGATGGGTTTTGTTTGGGTGTATTGTTTAAAATTTGGGCAGTTTCCTGTATAGATAACAATGGCTTCTCTACGTCTTATTTAATAATTCAATGCATTGTAGTTCATTCTTCTCTTTCTTTCTCTATTTCTCTTTCTATAAATATTTTAACCAATTCTGATCCCAAATGCTAGGAGAAGTGTTACAGAGATACAGAGGTTTTAGGAGCTATATCTCTTTAGAAGAGATGAAGCTCATAGAATAAGAATGGAGTAGAAATGTTATAAATTATCTGGCTAATTTGATGGATTTAGGCACATAAATGAGATGTATCCTACAACAATATGCCTTTTTGGATATATGCCAAGCAAAAAAGGAAGCAACCTTCTTTAAGTAAATGGCCAGGCCAAGCAGAGTGGTTCCCACACATAATCCCAGTACTTTGAGAGGTATAAACAGGAGGAACATTTGATGCCAGGTGTTCCAGACCAGTTTGGGCAACATAGTAAGACTTCTGTCTCTGCACTGTGCATAAGGTGAACAATTTGTCTGAATGACTGAATATATGCTAACATTAATTGTATAGCTCCTCAGCACTGGATGGCTATGTGAATAATTCTTTCGACTAGACTGCTGGCTGGTGTTCCTAGTTTGAAGGAACAATCACCAAACTCATGAATTATGGTTTATATTTATATGTTATAAGTCTCTTTCTTTTTGGGAAAATGCCATGGATGTATCAGTCAGTACAGTGATATTTATTTAATTTTAGAGATAGAGTCTCACTTTGTTGCCCGAACTGGAGTGAAGTGGTACCACCATAGATGACTATAGTCTCAACCTCTTGGGCTTAAGCAATCTTCTGTCTCAACCTCCTGAGTAGCCACACCATATCAGGCTAATTTTTTAAAAATTTCTTTTTTTTTTTGTAGAGACAGAGTCTGACTATGTTGCCCAAACTGGTCTTGAACACCTGGCATCAAATTTTCTCCTGCTTACACCTCTCAAAGTGCTGGGATTTTATGTGGGAACACTCTACTTGGCCTGGCCAGTTACTTAAAGAAGATTGCTTCCTTTTTTGAAATAAAAGATCTGTGAAAGTATAGTAATTTGCAATTAAACACCAAAAAAAAAAAAAAAAAAAAAGCCTAAATCATTTGTTTGCAATATCAATGCAGGGCTTATTTTTCAATGCATATTTAATTCATTTTGTAAGAACATTTCCTTTCATTTATCTGGGATTTTATTTATTAGGCAGAAGGAGGCCTAGTTTTATCTTTATGAGTAGCTTTTAATGAAATGAGTACCTATATCAAGTGCCTACAATGTTCTAGGTACCACATGAAATATATAAAAGAAATATTGTCTTTTCTTTTAAGACACCTAGATTAGACATGAAAACAGATGACTGAATAAAGATAGTTTTCTATGGTATATTTGTTTTTCAAGAGTCATTTTAAATAAAAAAATTAAGCATATAAAGAAACAACAACAACAAAACACATCCTTCCATGAAAGCAATTAACCTAAGTTTAAGAATAGATGCTTTGAGACATCACTCATGATGCTTTATAATTCATGGAAAGAATGAAAAGCCAAAAATACGATGTTACTCTTTTCTGCTAATAAACATGTTACCATAGCATGTTATAATTTTAAGATTAAAATGTGAAAGAATGTGTTGAAGCATAAGTTGTTATAAAACATTAACCACAGGAAGATGAATAAAGATGGGGGAAACTCACAGAATACCACTTGCCAGCTTGAGGCAGTTATCAACAAATGTTTTTGCAGCATTCCTTTAGTCTGTGTCTGTACCAAGTAGCTCCCCACTGCGTTGCCTGCTCACTACAGACAGCTTTTCCCTGTTTCTGCATTTAGAGCTTCTGGTCATAGGCCAATGAGTACTGCCTGGTCCCTTCTAAGGTGTTTGAATAAAAGGTTCAAACAATCCATCTGTCCTTGATGAATTGCTCCTTATGTCCCATTCAGACACTTCCTTGTCTCCTATAATACATAATTTCTAGATTCTAGATTTTTAGCTTCCCACAATTTTATGAGAAATATCACATTTTGACTATCAAATACACTTTCATTATTCAAGTGCAGTACAGACCTTGTGTTCTGTTGTGGGCTAATAACTCTGCGAGAGGCAGTTAGACTAAGCTCCTCACCTGCATTGGGCTGGGGTGTGTTGGAGGACCCCTAAGTACTTGACTTTTAACTAGTTCTTTTTTGTATGGTGAGTTTCTCTTGGTTAGCATATCTGGGTGACTTAATAAGTTGCCATATTTCTGAAGTGTTCAGGATGCCATCTAACTCAGAATAAAGCAACAAGGAAGAATGCTAAAATCTTGTGGGAAGCATTAATCTAATGGTCTTTTTAAAATTTAAAAAGGAATTATCCCAGGCAACATGTGTGCCAGTCAGTCTGTGAAGAGCCTAGACTGTGGCAATGGGGTTTGCTTTGGCACACAAAGGGAGCCTTTTCAGATTCAGATGCAGGCAGGGCTGAGAGGGATCAGGGTGGTTCAGCTCCTGCTGACCTTCTTTTGTGGTCTTTCTAAAGCACAAGGGGTTCTCTTATTCAAGGCTCCCATGACCCAGTGTAGTAACTCTATCATAGTTCTATATTCTTGTTATCTATTTGTATCTTATTTGCCCTATTAGAGTATACATTCATTAAGGGTAAGCACCATGTAGTTTATTTTTCTTGTGTATTTATTTTTCTGACATTGGATACTACCTAGCACAGAGCTGGGCTATTTGTTGACTTCATTTTTTATTGTGTGCCCATTGTATGCCAGGCACTAAATGAAGGCAATGATAACACATGAAATGACATGCCACATGCTCTCAAGGAACCCATAGTGTAGAGATGAACTTGGCAGTCAACATAGGATAAGGGGAGTTTGTTCTAAGTTCAATGAGAACACAAAGCAATGAGCACCCACGTGTGTGGAGGTACAAGGGAAGGTTTTGCTAAATGGTAGAGAGATCTTGAAAGATTAAAGTTGTGTAGAAGGAGCAACACACACACAAGCATGAAGGGAAGAGGGAGTGTGAAGATAGTATAAGATCTATTAAGTTTAAAATGACTGAAACCTAAACTAGGAAAGTATTGTTCAACAATTATAAAGCCCAGCATACAAAGGAATTTATACCAAATTAATAAATCTACACTTCATTCTGTAGTATTTTGAAAGCCAAAAAAGAATCATGCAATTAGGAGGGCATGATCAGATATCTGTTGAGAGAGATGACTCTGGTGGCAAGAAAAAAAAAAAAAAACATGCTGGGTGTGTTGGGGAAAGGGACAAGAAAGGGAGCAAAATCAAACACAGGAAGACCAGCTGGGGGTTGTGACTGTCACAGTTCAATGTTGAAATATATTCTCATTCTGCCAACCCATCCTGCATTTAAATTACATTTGTTTGGTGTCAACTTTATGTGAAGGTCTCCACATATATTTAAAAAATTGAATCCATATTTTAAGCCTATAAGATAAAGACTATACCCATTTTGGATATGAAGAAACTGAGGCTCAGTGGGGTTGACACTATGAAAAGGCAGACAATCTCACAGAGGTTAAATGGTCTTCCCAAGGCCACACAAATCTTAAGTATTGGATTTGGAATTCAAACTCAGTCTTGTACCAAAGTTTTTTATAGCGTACCCATATTTGCTGAAATAAGAGGTAGTGGGATTTAATGGAAAGGGGACTAGGTTAGAAATCAAGATATGTAGATGTTAAGTGTTGCTTTATGCCTCTCTAGTTTTGTCACCTTGAGAGGGTCACTTAATTTCTATGGGCCTTGCTTTCTATATTTATAAAGTGTTCACATATGTTCCCTCAAGGTCTAATCCTTGAGTCTATGAATTGAATTAAATATATTTGGGATGGTGATCCTTCCAGCAAGTTTGTTAGAGTGGGATGGAGTAGGAGAAGTGGAAAGGGAACTAAATTTACTCAGGAGCGAGATGGCGGAGGTGGGAGAGGGAATTTTTAAAAAGTACCAAATTTGGAAAATACTATGAAGAAAATATCCATAAGTCTTAAAACTGTTTTTTTTCAACAAAAGAAAAGTTACATTTCAAATTAATTCCAAAGTTGTGGGAAAAGGTGAGTTGTCTAGTGACTATTTTGAGTATGAAGGCAATGAGGAGGGGGTACCTGTTAAGAAAGAAAGATTTGAGGGGTTTTTTTTGACTCATCAGTTTCAAGTTATCAATTTACAAATACTCTGTATGCTCTTGGATAAGTAAAAATAAGTTACAATGTCCTGAAGATTTAAAGAAGAACGTATCAAAAAGTAAAATTTTAATGCGAAAATAAATTTCCTTAAGAAATAAACATATATAATGTGAAGATAAGAGAATTCATACTCTTAGGGGAGATTTCTTAAAATTATCAAATAGCATACAATAACAGCTTTCCTCTCAAAGCCTCTTGAGGTTGAGTTATCATATCTTGCTAACTGTGCAATTTTTTAAATGAAATATTTCATACAACATACCTCAGGGGAGATTTCTGTAATCCCAAATTGGGATAAACTTTGATGTAAAACATTGATATTAAGTGAACGCAGCACTTCCTCAGATGGCAGAGCATCAGAAATTCCTGTTTTTCGGTTTATAGGAGACACAAATAGTTCAACACTGTTCTTCTTTTCCTAGTAAAAAAAGATTGTTTGTGTTATGGACATTTTAAACTACTTGGGGTAATGTTTTTACCTTTCCTTTATAAACATAAAGACAATAAGAATCCTAGAATGCTAAAAGGCATCACAGAGATTGCATTTATTAATTATTCTCTAGTAGACTTAATATACTCAAAGTCTAAAATCTTCAAATGTAAATATTTTCAATGAGTTGGCCTTCTTTCAATTAGTTAGTGCTCCAAGATTTGTAATTTTATATTTTGTTGGATGTTGGTTTATTTTCTACTCTATATTGTAATTTTTTGAAATATATTTTTCAGATGTTTCCTGAGTAGTTGTGTTTAAAGAAGCATTTTAAAATCAAATGAATTATATAAAACCTGACATAATAGTAAAATTGCATATTAGATTTTACCACTCTTTCTAATTTTAAAAAATAATTTGTATTCATGTGAAGGATGGATTAGCTCAGAAAGGTGGTGCAAGGTGAGCTTTGAAATTCCTTCCTTGATTCTGTTCTTCATTTCATATATGCCACACTTTAAAACTCTATCCTTTGGTAGAAATGCATATGCTGCATATAGTATCACGATACTTTTCCTGTTAGTATGACCTCATTAAATGAAATGGAGATTGCAATTTCTTACCATAAATGGCTGATACGCTGCATCTACACACACAAAGCAAAAACCAGAAAAAATGACATTGTCATTGATAATATTATCTTTTACAACTTATATGATGCACATATAGAAGGAAATAACTGTTAGTCTTTCTTTTCTTTTCTTTTCTTTTTTTTGCACATGGATTTCTCTCCTGCTAGAAAATTTTCTTTTAATGCAGTTTATGAGAATCTCAGCCAGGTATAAAATGGAGTATCAATGTACTACTAGCAACTCAGAAAAAACATTTGTTATGTTTGCAGGAAACAACAGACAATAACTAAATTCTGATGTGAAATATGTTTATAGTAGTTTAAATGTTTATGACCTAACAATAATGGTAGGAACAGAGCATTTGTGCCTGATATGCTCCTATGTCCCTTAAATCTCTTATCTCATTTAATGTGCCACACACCCAAAGGAGATAGATTCATGATTATCTTTATTTTACAAATCACAGGTAAGTGGCTTGCCCATGGTCACACAGCTGGAATGTGGCCATCCTGAAAATGGAGTACGGTTCTGTCTCTAAAACACATGCTCTTAATCACCATGCCCTGCAGTCTGCGGTATTATAACTCTACCTATTATAATAACTACTCTGAACAATGCTATCAACAATCCCTGAAAGTATACTTATCCCTCCCTAGGTGTAGCAAATCCCTTTCATCCTTACAAACAGCTATTATTTGCATTAAATCTGTATGCATAAAAGTATATCTAAGATAAGAGGAGGGATCGAAAAACCCTGGAATTTATTTATACAAAATTGTGTATTTATTCTTTCCTGTTTAAACTTCAGTCACCTTTAAAGTAGTCTCCTATCAAGAAGCTTTTTGCACTGCCCAAAACAGTTTGGGCAATACACCTATCAAGATGCTTTTTGCACTGCCCAAAACAGTTTTTGAACTTGTCAATTTTCATGCCTTTTAATGCTTCTGCCGTTTTTATTTCACCTCTTCCACATCAGCAAAATGTTTTCTTTTGAGGACTTTTTTCATCTGGAGAAACAAAATAGTTGCTCTGGGTGAGATCAAGTGAGTAGAGAGGGTGGGGCATGGGTGTCATGCTACTTTTCATCAAAAACTGCTGAACATTCATTGTGGTATGGGCAGGTGTGCTTGTAAATCACCCATTACAAAATAGGCAAACTCATTGAAAAAAAAAAAAAGAAACTCACTAGAACACTAGCTGGTACACCGAAGCTGCAGATGGGTTCCTAGAACACTTACCTAGCGGGAGAAGCCTGTTCTACAAGGGTCCTGGTATTATAGGTATTTTGGATCTAGACTATATATATATATATATATATACACATATATATATATAATATATATGTTTATATATGTATGTATAATATGGGGGGCCAAAAAAAACCAGGAATTATTTTTTGAAGGGCAGCTCTCTTGTAGTACAGGCTACCTCCACTAGATAAGTGTTCCAGAAACTCATTAGTATCAGTGTCCTAGCTAACATTGTTATGAGAGGCTGCATTTGGCTTCAGTGAATTTTTTTCGGAGATTCTTTCACATGTTTGCCCATTTCATTATAGACAATTTACAAGTGCACCTGCCCATGCTGCGCTGAGTGTTTAGCAGTTTTTGACCAAACATGGCAGGACCCTTGAGTTCCACCCTCCCTATTCACCCCATCTCATCCAGAGCAACATTTTTATTTGTTTCCCTTCATGAAAAAAGTCCTCAAAGAGAAACATTTTACTGATGTGGAAGAGGTGAATCAAAAAACAGCAAAAACACTACAAGGCATCAAAATCGACAAGTTCAAAAACTATTTTGGGCACTGAAAACATCTTGATAGGTGTATTGCATTGCATGAAGAGTACTTTGAAGGTGACTGAAGTTTAAACACGTAAAAATAAATACACAATTAAAAAAATTATGGGATTTTTTTTTTTAAGGAAGCTCCCCCTCATATGCCCTGGATATAAATAACCTACTTCATTCTTTCAGGATATTAGGGAATGCTGTATTTCCTCTTCTGTAGTACTGAATTAAAACTTTTTTTAAAAGCTTGTTTAGTCATAGAACATTGTTAGCTCACAGAATAAAAGTTTTTGTGGGGAATGAAACAACTTAGCCTCACACACAGAAAATTGAATGTTTTTTTGCACTGCAAAAACTCCAGAGCAAAATGTAATGCTAACATAAACTTCAAACCAAAATATAAAGCAAATTCCCTCCAGAGCTGAGAATGCAGATGCTGGTGTAGTAGGAAGCTAAGCTCCAGTAGGAGCATAGCAATTTCAGGTGGGGATAATGTGCAGTTCTTGCTTGGACTTCCATTGTAATGGACATTAAGAACAATTTAAAAACTGTACAAAAATTCCATAGTACCTTTTTCATATAAAACTTAGGTGACTAGCTTTTTACAAGGAGAAATAATTTCATTTAAATTTCTTTTCTTTTCTCTTTGCCTTTGCTTACATTCACCTTCAAACGTAGATAAGAACATATAGATGGGTGTTATCCAGGTTCCCAGACACTAAGGAAAGGGGGGGAAAGAATGAATTTGGATGATTGACAGGTCGAGTGGGCCCTGTAGAATGGATACTTGGGTTTACCTCATGCCCATTCAAATGGCCATCCAAGTTTTCTTTTGGCTTTTCTAGACTATCAATTCTTGCCTTCCATCTGGATTGCAGTCTTCAGGGTCAATTTTTCTTTATCCTTTACTAAAAATCCTCTGCCTTGTGCATTGTTCATCATTCTACTGATATATTGGAGGAGTTTTAACAGACATTTTCTGGAAATGTTATCTGATACAGAAGGTTTCACTTTAATGTAGAATATTTTGGGAGTAGTGTTGAGTTGGTAAAGTAATTACTTTGAGTCCCTTCATACATGCCTGAGTAGCTAGACTTAAATGATGACAGAGTTGACAAAATTTTTCTGTAAAGGGCCAGAGAGTAAATAGTTTAGACTTCATGGGCCTGATGATCTATTGCAACTACTCAACTCTGCCACTGCAGCAAAAAGCAGTCATAGGCAATATGTAAATGAGTGGATGTGGCCTGTTTCATAAAATCTTATTTACAAAAACAGACAGTATGCCAGATTTGGCTCATTAGCCACAGAACTATAGCATAAGCCCCTCAGTGATAAAAAGCACAGCCTGAATTTTGGGAATGTGAACTATAGGCATCTTACAATGAGGCGGTTGATGTGCACTTGCTGGGGTAAGAGTCCTAAAGCTGCAGCCACTCCTTGGCGGAATATCCGAAGCAAGGTTATGTTCAGCTTGCTTACATCCATTTGCAGTGTCTGGAAAATAAAGACAAAAAGAGATCCAAGTTATAGTAAATCTTTGGTTTAGTACGTTCCATTCTTGACTGATGACTGACCACAATAATTTCTGTGACTCCAGTAAGTTCACACTCATGGTGCTTTATTGTATTTTTGATAGAAATAAAATTATAGAGACATTTTACATGAAATTTTAAACGGTGTTAGTTAAAAAGATGTCTAGTTATAATGAATAGTCGATAAAGAATTTCATTGGAATGTGCCTTAATTACTTTTGCTTTAGTTTAGGTCCAGATGACAGAATGGAATCTGTGGCCTAGTGTGTTTCAGTTATCCATCTTTAATTTGTGTTCACACACAGTCACAGAGAGAAAGATGCTGTGTAAGTTCCATAAACACCGTCTTGGCAGTTTCTCTATGTAAGTGATTTCCTGCCAGCACAAGGCAAAAGAATGAAGTACAATAATCCATTTTTAAACTCTGGCAAAGGAGCCAATGGTCTAAAGTAAACTATTCTTATTCAGTTGTTGGGGCCAACACTCAACTTTCAAGTTTGCTTAGGAAAAAAAACCCTAAATATTAAAACATTTCTAAAATACAAATCAAATTATAGTATTAGTGATACAGTCTTAATTTAAGCCATGAGTGATATTATTACACTTAAATCATGAAGAAGTACACTTTGTGTTTTCAATTACACATTATAATCATTTGAGATAGATAACATGAAAGGTAGGCAAACCAAATCTTTATTCATTTATTTTATTCTTATAATGCTTAATTCATTAATTTGACCATAGTAGGTTATCAGTAACTATTGGATGGCCACAATATTACCCCTTCTATAAAGCAAACCACATTATAGGTACATACTTCTCTGAAAAAGAGATTGTTTTACAAGTACAATCTACTATAGGGCAGAGACTCTTAGGGCTTCTTTCAGCTTGCTTTAAAAGGAGTATGATACTTGAAAATTCATAGTCTTGTTAGGAAATGGTACATCCTCTATTTTGTACTTCTAAAGTTGGTATAAAATAAGGGACTGGAAACTGGATCAAATGCCCAGGACTATAGGATTCAGAAGGGCTTTAGGAGGTCAAAAGAGGTGCAGTGGTTCCCAGTCAAGATGGTGAGCCCAGTGAAAGCTCCAGACTGCACTTCCACCTTAGGGTCTCTTAATGCTTGCCTGGAGGCAGAGACACTAAGGTTTGGTCATGCCAGGGAGTTGGAACTGGACTCCTTGCAAAAAATTAATATCCAGAAAAGGACAGAACCATTGAAAAAAATTCTACCTAACAGTCCAGTAATAGGCAACAACTTTCTTCTGGGGAGGAATAGGAGAATTAAGTTGGGGGTAGGTAGAAAAGCTACATCAACACCATTAGCAATTCATTTAAAATTATTTATTTTTATTTCCCTTTATTCAAAAAAGTAATTTCAATAGTTTTTGGTTACATGAATGCATTATATAGTGGCAAAGAAGTTGGGGTTTTAAGTGTACTCCCCACCTGTGCATATGGTACCCGATAGGTGATTTTTCATCCCTTAACCCCTTCCCATCCTTCTTTTTCTGAGTTTCCAATGTCCATTTTACTATTCTATATGTCTTTGCAGATCTTTTGTTTAGCTCACACTTATAAGTGAGAGCACGTGGTGTTTGGTTTTCTGTTAGCTCACTTAGGATGATGTTCTCTAATTCCATTCAAGTTGCTGCAAAAGACGTTATTTCATTTTTTATGGCAGAATAATATTCTATGGTGTGTGTGTGTGTGTGTGTGTGTGTGTGTGTGTGTGTATCACATTTTCATTATCCACTGATCAGTTTATGAGTATTTTGGATGATTCCACATCTTTGCCATTGTGAATTGTGTAGCAATAAACATATGAGTGCAGGAGTCTTTTTGTATGACCTCTGTTCTTTAGGGTAGATACCTAGTAGTAGGATTGCTGCATTGAATGGCAGATCTACTTTTAGTTCTTTGAGAAATCTCCATACTGATTTACATAGAGATTATATTCATTTGCACTCCCTTTTCACCATGTCCACATCAACAACTATTATAATTTTATTTTTTAATAATGACCATTTTGATGGTGTACATGTAAGGTGGTATTTCATTGTAGTTTTTATTTGCATTTCTCTGATAATTAGTGATATTGAGCTTCTTTTCCTATGCCTGATGCCATTTGGATATCTTGATAGGTGTTTATTCATGTAATTTATCCACTTTTTAATGGGGTCATTTGCTTTTTTTTGCTGACTTGTTTGAACTCTGGATATTAGTACTTTGTCAGATGTACAGTTTGTGAATATCTTCTCCTATTCTTTAGGTTGCCTATTTGCTCTGTTAATTTTTTCTTCTGCTATGTAGAAGATTTTTAGTTTAAGTTCCACTTGTTCATTTGTGTTGCAGTTGCCTTTCCTTTTGAGGTTTTAGTCATAAATTCTTTATCTGGACCAATGTCCAGAAGAGTTTTTCCTAGGGTTTCTTCTAGGGTTTTTGTGGTTTCAGGTCTGACATTTAAGTCTTTAATCCATTTTAAAGACTACACAAAAATGCATCTAATTTTTTATATATGGTAAGAGATAGGGATCAAGTTTCTTTTTTAAAAAGCTTAAAACAATGAAAAATTTACTGTCTTATGATTTTAGAGGCCAGAAGTCTGAATCAAAGTGCCAGCAGGGCCATGCTCCCTCTTAAATCTGTAGAGAAAATTCCTTCCTTGACTGTTTTAGCATCAGGTGTTTGCCAGCAAACCTTAGTATTACTTGGCTTGCAGATATATCGCTCCAATATTTGCATCTGTTGTCACCTGGCTATCTTTTCCCTATGTCTTCATATAGTCTTCCCTCCGTAAGTGTCTGTGTACAAATTTTCCATTCTTTTAAGGGAACTAGTCATATTGGACTAGGAACTCACCCTACTGTGCTATGACCTAATCTTAATTAATTATATCTGCAACAATCCTATTTCCAAATAAGGTCTCATTTTTAGGTACTGGTAAGTTAGAACTTCAAGATATGAATTCTGAGGGGACACAATTCAACCCATTACAAAAAGAAAGTCAGAATTCTGAGGAAAGGAATTGCTAACTCATAGCCAGAGAATTGACCAAGAACTTCGATAATTTTGCATGTTCTCCTCCGTTTTCCTTTAGGCTCTGAGTCAATACAAGTTGGACTTTTAATTGGGTTTCTGGGCATTTACCCCTGATGGGAGAGCTTTTTGGGAAGCTGGGTAGGTACATCAGAAAAATAATTCTATTCCAAAGATGACTTGGGGGATGAAGCTTATCATGTGTAAAGGAAGTGGTAATATGGTTGAAAATGATCTTTCTGTTCCACATTCACCTCCCAGCATGTCACAGAAAGCAGTTTCTACTGGACTTGGAGAACTTGACTTCTCTCTTTATAGAACATGACTCTCTCCTTCCAAAGAGTAATAATTTTTTATAAAATAAAAATAATCTAATGATGTACATTTGTTTGCTGTATTATTCTCTGTACTTTTACACAGCCTAAATATGTAACCAACATATAACAACATAATTTAATGCAGAATGTAAGATTTGAACTCAACCTTGAAGGATGAATAGGATTTGGAAATGCAGTGATGGAGAAAAATAGCATTATACTTTTCAGCATGATGTTTGCATCCACCTGGTCAAACTAGGAGATCAGAAAAACAGTTCACCTTGTAGCCCTGAGCAACAGAGGCTTCCCTTCATCCAATGGCTTGCTTTCAGCTCTGCCAGGGTGGAGCAGCCCTTAGAGACAGGACACTGTATTAGAGACTCTTTGCAAGCCCAAAGATGGCTTCTTCAGTTGACTCAAACACTGATGAGGAACACTGACTTCTGGCTTACCAGCAGTGTTTGTTAGGCAGGGGAAGCAGGAAGGCATTGCCCCTGATCCCCAGGGATGGAATTTGGAGCCAATTGTCTATGCTTAGAATCGAGATTCAAGGGAGTTGTGCATACGCTTGAGAACTCAATTCCCCAGGCCATGATTAACTTGAGGCTTGTAACTGTGGAAACAGTATTAAAGTCTCAGATTAAAATGGTAAATGGGAATTGCAATGGAAACACAAGATTTAAACATCACTCAAAAAGGCAACTTTGCTAGACTATAAAAGTTGTGCATTTGAAAACGAAATTTAGTCTACCCAACTATAGTAAAGAAGTGAGTTGAAGTAATTAGTTTAAATTGAGATCATCTGGTTCGTTGCATCAAGATATTTGAATAATTTTTCTGAGTTCTCTGCTTGTCTGTGAAAAGCTGGATTGATTCCTTAGTACATGCACAAATTTCTGACTATTCTCTATAAAAACAGTGATGCTAAAATGTAGTACAAACAGATATTTGTAGTACAAACATATTAATATGTTCCAGATATTATATATGAAGGCAATTTGAGAAAAAGAAAGGTTTCTAGACAAAATGAGAAATTTTTTTTCCAGACAAAATAAAATACTATATGACTTCAGAGGAAATATATTACTTCCTTCTTTCTGGATAGATGCTAGAAATGCACAGCTCTCCCATATCCTGTTATGGGAAATCATAACAACTATGATAGAATGTACATTTTCACAGCAATAACAAGGTCATTGCTTTAAAGTTGCAATACAACTGTGTGAGCTGCATTTTTGCCTGAGTTCTATCATTTAATGTATAAATGATTTAAGATTTTAATTTCAAAGGGATTGAAATGTCTTTCCAAATGCATATACTAAGCCACTTTACAGCAGTAAATTATTGCAAATAGAGTTACTATAAGAACAACTGGGTGTTTTTAATGGATATTATATATATATCAAAATAGAGAAAAAAATTAAACATAGTAAAGAGTTATAGACTTCAAATTCTCTATATATTTAAATTTATTGGACCCCTGTCTTGTTAAAGGTTCCTGAGTCAGTTGCTCACACAAGGAACTGCTCTACTTCACAAAGAAAATATCACTTTGTAACAAGTCTTTCTTTCTTTGGTCACTAGACTGTCCATTAAAGTAGTT